ATGAACTGATTAATTTACCAAATAATTTCAGGTTTACATCTATCAATGACTGACATTAGTTGGAGGAATGTTGGAAACCTGAGAGCACTGGACAGCTGGCTGTTTCGTCCTAGAATGTAACTCTTCAGCATTATACACCCACTATCCCGCACCGCCAGGGATCGGACACAGGGCATTACGATTGAGCCATTAGGTGGGAATCCAGTGATCAACATTTCCTACTTATATCACTTCATGAAATAGCACGACCTCCATCCAATGTCATCGTTGAGTAACTGTCCTCATATCCGACTTGGTTGGCTCCACTGGTCACGATTTCTCCACAGAACTTCAGGAATCACTTCTCGAAGCTATTCACTGTGCTGAACTTCTTGATTTTGATCCTTATTGGTGCCGGGTAGTGGATGATAACTGCTGAAGAATCTCATACTAGAACGAAACGGCCATCCAGTGCTCCTAGGCTTTCAATGTCTCTCCAACTGATACCAGTCCATGATCAACTGTTGGGATTCAGTTGATTTGTAAAATAACAATGAAACCTGATTCTTTGATGGTTCATTCTGTATGTGATCGATGGTGTTATAGAATGCTTCCCGATTCTAAATGTTTTCTGATAAATGTTACCTTGTCTAAATTCATAAAAAGGATTGATTGTTTCTCAGACTTTTCTAAGAAGAAGACTGTCATCATACACTGTTAAACAGTTAAACAAACTTTTTAACCTAAAGTGTTAAACCATATCTAAAAAAAATGAAACTGTAATTTTATACAAAGTCATATCTATGTAATTCAGATAAATATGTGAATAGTTTTCTTTCTAATATATATTGAGTTCATGAGAAAAAAGTACTTCCCATAGGATTTCATCTTTTCGAGTTCACATATGAAAATCTCTCAAATGGATATTTATGTCCTTCCTGTTTAAGTCTTCTTGTCCCTACGTCTTCAGATAATGAAAGTTGGTTAAAGGCTACATTACTTGATATAACTCGTCAGTTCTGTAGTTCAGAAAAAAGATTTCCGGAACAGATCTGACCTCCATATTCTCAAACCCGATAAAGGATCGGATATTCTCAGGATGAATGAAAGTGACTATAAAAAAAACTATTATACATACTAAGCAATATTTTTATTATTTGTCACTTGGGTACCTAATGGAACATAGGGATTCACTACCACGTCTCAATTACACTCTCTTCTCTGCAATATTGTCAACCTGACTCCACCATTGCCCACAACCTCTCATCTCTTCCTCACACCACCACCACCACCACCTCCTCCTCCATGTCATCCTCGTCTCCGACGCAAAAATCATAGTTTCCCATCTGGATTCCAGTTGAGTGCCTCTCCTGGTGCGTGATGTCTCCGAATGGTCTCCTCAGTGTATGCCCAATCCAATCCATCTCCACTTCCTTCCAGTGCAGATTTGTTGAGCGATAGCTTCTTGTATTGTTGGTTGGTTGCTAGTCAGTCAGCCAGCCAGCCAGCCAGCCACAGTTACTTCTTGCCTATTCTTTCTCACCTTCTCATCTCAGCTTCAGTGACGAGTCAGCGTAGAGGGCAGTTGTTGATGAATGTGTGTAGTTTGTCGGAAATGCTTTTCGTAGCGCGCCAAGTCTCCCAACCATATAGAAGCACTGACTTCACTGACTTGGTGATGAAAATTCGGATGTTGTTCACGCTTCATTCTGAGTGCAGTGCAGAAGATCTGAGTACTGGTTCCCTGTTAATGAACGCCTGTCTTGCTGTCTTTCCGATTCCGGCTGGCTTTGACGTCCTCGTCTGTGCCTGTGCCGTCTGTAGTTGAGACAGTGCTGTCTGGATAGGTGAGGGAGGCTACTTCCTTTAAGTTTCTCCCGTTGATGGTGATTGATGCTTCATGTTGTTGATGATGCTGTTGTTGGTTGGGTATCTTCATCACTTCTGTCTTCTCTATGTTCGCTTGAAGTCCCGTCTTCGCTGCCCTACACTGCCTCTTCTCTCAACTTGTTAGTTTTTGCCTGTAGATCTTCCAGTTTTTTTGACACTAGACACACATCATCATTGGCGAAATCCAAATCTTCTAGGTTCTTTTCTCCGGTCCAGCGTATCCCTCTCTTTTCTTTTCTCACTGTTTTCTGCATGATCCAGTTGACCACAATCAGGAAGATCATGAGTGATAGTAAACAGCCTTGTTTTACTCCTATCTTTAATTCTCTTCAAAGGGATCATTGAGCTTTCCATTGTGGATTACTTGGCATGCGGCGTCTTCATATATTTGTTGAATGAGGTTGATAAAGGTTTGTGGTATTCTGTAGTGTTTAAGCAACTACCAAATTACTTGTCGGTCGACGCTATCGAAGGCCTTTTCACAGCCCATGAAGTTGATTTAGAGAGTTGACTGCCATTGATCCTTAGTAACGAAAGCAAGTTCCTGGCTGGTATCCGACCACAAGAGTGAAAGTGAAAGTAGGCCCTTTTTTTAGTAAAAAGTTTGAATATGAATACTATTAGCAAAGAGAAATTCAGTCCACTGAAACCAATGGGATCTAAATTACTAAATTTATATGTATAACCTAAGATTCATAGAGTTAGTAATCCTTAACGCTCTTTATTGTCTATGATCGTCCCCCCACACATAAACTGGTGAAATGGTTGAGGAAAATTGTTAATCCAGTTCGAAATGAATTGTGTAATTTTCTTAATAAAATAAATATCAAAAACAAGGGCGCTTACCCTTTTAATGTAAGTTCTTTATTCTCCAAAATCCCGTTGTCCAAGACTACCAACATTCTCTATGATCACACATTGTCGAGAAATATCCCGTTCTCTATTACTTCAACGTTTCTGAAGGAGCTATCGTTGCTCTTTAGCGAAAAAGTTCGTTTAAACTTTGAAGAGGAATACTTCCGATTAGTTGACGGCGTAGCCACAGGTAGTCTCTTAGGTCTGGCTTGTGATCTCATAGCTATGGTTGCCTTTTACAAGAAATATGTCGATTATATCATAACAATTTGTGGGGGGCATCAGGATATAGTTTGTCTACTAAAAGTACCTAATACCATTCAAACTTTTATCACCCTGACTTGTGAAAAAGAGAATAATAATCATCTTAGACATACTCTTGAATCGGCAAGACGACAGTTCAATAAATGGTCAATCAACAAAAAACTTGGACAACACAAACGAGATATAGTAAACTGCATATTTACTAAAATCTGTCTTGCCTGTACGCTGGACCAGAGAAAAGATTTCGCCGATGACTTGCGTCCAGTGTCAAACAAACTGGAAGATCTACAGGCAAAAACTAACAAGTTGAGAGAAGAGGCAGTGTAGGGCAGCGAAGACGGGACTTCAAGCGAACATAGAGAAGACAGAAGTGATGAAGATACCCAACCAACAACAGCATCATCAACAACATGAAGCATCAATCACCATCAACGGGAGAAACTTAAAGGAAGTAGCCTCCCTCACCTATCCAGACAGCACTGTCTCAACTACAGACGGCACAGGCACAGACGAGGACGTCAAAGCCAGCCGGAATCGGAAAGACAGCAAGACAGGCGTTCATTAACAGGGAACCAGTACTCAGATCTTCTGCACTGCACTCAGAATGAAGCGTGAACAACATCCGAATTTTCATCACCAAGTCAGTGAAGTCAGTGCTTCTATATGGTTGGGAGACTTGGCGCGCTACGAAAAGCATTTCCGACAAACTACACATATTCATCAACAACTGCCCTCTACGCTGACTCGTCACTGAAGCTGAGATGAGAAGGTGAGAAAGAATAGGCAAGAAGTAACTGTGGCTGGCTGGCTGGCTGGCTGGCTGGCTGGCTGGCTGGCTGCTGGCTGGCTGGCTGGCTGGCTGGCTGGCTGGCTGCTGACTGACTAGCAACCAACCAACAATACAAGAAGCTATCGCTCAACAAACCTGCACTGGAAGGAAGTGGAGATGGATTGGATTGGGCATACACTGAGGAGACCATTCGGAGACATCACGCACCAGGAGAGGCACTCAAGTGGAATCCAGATGGGAAACTATGATTTTGGCGTCGGAGACGAGGATGACATGGAGGAGGAGGAGGTGGTGGTGGTGGTGTGAGGAAGAGATGAGAGGTTGTGGTCAGTGGTGGAGTCAGGTTGACAATATTGCAGAGAAGAGAGTGTAATGGAGTCGTGCTAGTGAAGCCTTATGTTCCACTAGAAACACATGGGACAAATAATAATAATATGAATCTTTATTGTACATGAGATGCAGTGCATAAGGACATCAATCTCCTGGCCTACAAACACTCATGGGAAACGGATATCTGTTAAATTTTATAAATCATCGTAAAAGTTAAATAATACCAGGACCAACTCTATACTTGATTTCAAAGAGAAGTGTTCACAATAATATTGTAATATAGACGGGATTTGAATAATATTATCTTGAAACGTAGGTTAACATTAGGAAAACACTATGTATAGGTAGCTTTAGTATTGTGGAAAAAACAAAACACATGCTTCTGCACAAACTGAAACACTGTAATAATGATTACATCACACCCCACTGTGTTTACTAGTTTGCCTGTAAATAGGCAGGAGTTTTCGAGTCATGCAGTTGAGAGTAGGAGAACATGTACCAGAATGGCTTCAAGTACAGATGGAGTGTCTAGCCGGGATAGGTGTCGCTAAGCCTATTATGGAAACAGGTCACAAGATTATTGTTTAAATATTTTAAATATACATTGACGAGCCATAAAATGAAAACTTTACCTTCCATTTAAAGAGTAAATTAATGGTCTAGTGGATAATGCTGTGAAGTATGAAGGATCATTCATGACTTTTAGGTCTTGTTGGGAAGAAGGCGGGTACCAGTGACTACCGAATAGAACAAAGTTCAAGTCTTCAATTCTACTTCTAACCTTTATACATCATTGCTAACTACTTAAAGCGACTAACTTATAAACATTTGAATGTGTAGAGGATCAGTAGGTGAATAAGATTTTCGACAAAAAATAATAGTCAACACTTACCGTGATTACATCACGATTTCTTATTCCATGCATTCTATCTATTACAATGAAAGACAATGTTGTCTCTTATCATTAAAGATAAATGATCTTCGGACAGTTGACTTGTATCGATCCATAGCACATATTAACAATAACTAATTATCCAATGAAACAATGATTATAGAAATGATAACAAGAATTTATGCACATATTTATACAATCAGTTATAAGTGTGTTGAATTAGAATGTTTGCATCATATGAATCACAAGTGGTGAAATTCATGAATAATTTATCAAGCTGTCTCTCTTTTTCTTTCTCTCTCTTTCACTTTGAGGTTCATTTTTGTCTTCAGTTGAATACAAGATATTCTTGTCACGTAAACTCTAATTTACATGAATGAAACCAATTTATATACATCGAAAAATGAGAGTGGGAGTGACGGGCAGAGCAGTTGGATGTAAATCATCTTTCTTTTATGGACAAAAAACGTTTGAGAAGTGAACTAACACCGGAAACAATTAAATATAAAGTAACATAATTTTGAGATGAATAGGAACTCTTAATTACTAAGGTAGTATTCATCATGAACTGACATCAGTTGGGGAACCATTGAAAATCTTGAAGCACTGAACAGCTGATTCCTCCCAGCATAGGAGTGCTCAACAGTACACACCTATGATAGAAGTTGGAAACTGTGAACCACTTGAAACCGATCAAGTGGCTGAACGGCCCAAGCATTCGCCGTAAAACCTTAAGGTCCTGAGTCCTAGTCTAGTGGATTACGCTCTGGTGTTTGGAGCGCTCGCTCCCGAATTAGAATCCCGGTGGGGGCAACACTCACTGGGAGGCAGGTGCATCCAGCAGACTGGTGATCCCCAAATAGGAAGAAATGCGCATTCTGGATTCCACTGCTAGCTACTATCTATCAATACTATACAGACAGGCGTATGTTCTTGTATACGTCTTGACAGTAATCTCTGACCACAATCGATGTACCCTGCTCCACAGCAGAAGGTGAACTGGTAGCTACACATAGATATGACCTGTCGAGGGATATTGTCTTTTATACAATGGGAGAACAATTTACGACTGGTAAAGGTCAAGTGAAGTTTGGCTGAGAAAAAGTGTTACTAATGGGCCTGGAAAGACGATTTTTCGAGATATTTGATGCTACATAACCTTCAAATTCCTTTTTCGTTTTTTAACCTCGCTCTCCAACCAACTGCTTTGTTAATTTGTCTAATGCAATGAAACAGTTAAATGCATAGTAACCGTCTCTTTCTGTAAACAATCCATTACTTGAATCCACTTTCATTGGTGCAATGTTACATTCCAAGGAGAAATTACTTTGACTTCCACAGCGTTGTTTCCTTAGTTGTTCACCCATGTGAATTGCATATCGTGACTAACTAGCTTGTTGAATTAAGGTGTAACACTCAGTCGAACACCTCAGATACATATCAATCAGCTAAGATTCCTTTGAGGAGTACATTTTTTGCTTAATGACTTAAAATCTAAGCTAACGCTTGGAAAAACAAGATAATTAGCTAAGAAATCGCCAGAAAGTTCATAGATGCATTTCAATGATTCGCCACATACAGCACTTTAGATTAGTAAAATAACCCTACATAGATGGGTCTCTGAAACATAGAACTTGTCTGTGATCAGAGATAATAGTTTTAGAGGAATGCTTAGAACGAAGCTTTCTGGAATGTTGATGGCGTTTATATGGGACTGAAAAAACTGTGAGGCGGCTACTCGTATCACAGAAGATCATGTTTTATTCAAGTAGTTTTGAAAGCAAGTGGATGAGTGAGGGTGAGTGCATGACGTCGTCACGAAAAGCGACATCCGTATTAGGCTGACGATATAAACATTTCTTGGAGCCTTTATTAAAAGTTATTCTGAACTAAGTTGATGCTTATAAGAGAAATGATATCCGCGTCATTAGAACTCCTTGAGGTAGGAAGAAGCAACATTTACTGACCACGCCTTTTTCGTATGAAGGAGGGTGGTATTATCATGGAATACAGAAAACACCACACTTCTGACACACACACACACACACACACACCTCAAAGCAAGCAATACAACCCCATCATTGAACTACCACAACAATATCTTTTGGGGTGGATTAACTAACTAGTTAATCCAAAATGTTGAGAAATAATCACGAATTTTATCTACGTGACTGAATGAAAGTTTCTAATGTTGTGAATGTGTGGAGGTGGGAAAGTAATTTAACAAACGAAGCAGAATAAAGAATACTGTACATTTTAATACTGAGATGAAATGTGTTTGTGAACACGAATGAAGGATTTTACGATTAGGGTGTATAAACGCTAAGGTAGTTGTCATAGAGGCGAAATCTTCATCGTACTATACTTCCACATTCAGGAATCCTACTTGTAAGAGCCTTTTAATGTAATAATTTCTGTCTAGAGAAGAGAGATAGTGGAACTTTGTACCAGTTTACTTTATTTCTAGTTTCAGTGGTGGGTGTCAAATTCACTATGATGAAAGTTGGAATAATACAAAATATTTATAGCTCAGGTGGATAGTCTTGGTAATATTGTGTTCGCTGAGCTGGGTTGTTTGATCGTGAAGCTTTCATTGTCTTTCTAGATGACATCAACAGTACTAACTTCACACTGAAGTTAGTGCTGATGATGTCGTCCATAAAGACGACTAGGAACATTTTTGGTAATCTTGGTTTAAGGCATCATGAGTTCATTTGGAGGTATACTTTAAGGAAGGTGTGTTAGATAAACGCCACTTCATATTGTTATGAACTGAAATGTTGTAGCAATATGATGTGGTTGTACAATAACGCCATATCATTCTACTTTTCGAAAAATCTAATTAAACTGTTGCTTTCTTGGAGATTTTGGGGATTCTGGGAACATTTTCCCTGAATTCATGCAGCGACACAATGACTCTTCTTTAACTGTACTATTATTATTATTATTATTTGTCCTATGAGTTCTCAGTGAAACATAAGGATTCAGTAAAACATCTCCACTCCAATCTCTAATCTCAACTATTTTCAACCTGCCTATACAACTGCCCATTACCTTTCATTTCCTCCTCACATCATCTCCTCCATGTCATCCTCACCTCCAACACCAAACTCGTACTTTCCCCTTTAGGTGTCCACTCGACGGCTTGACCTGGAACGTTATGCCACCGAATGGTTTTCTCAGTGTATGTCCAATCTAATCCAATCCAATCCATCTCCACTTTCTACTTGTGTATATTTGTTGAGTGACAGCTTCTTGCATTTTGGTTGGTTGGTTGGTTGCCAGCCAGCCAGTCAGTCAGTCAGTCAGTCAGTCAGTCAGTCAGTCAGTCAGTCAGTCAGTCAGTCAGTCAGTCAGTCAGTCAGCCAGCGAGAGTTCCTTCTTGCCTATTCTTTCTCACCTTGACTGACTTGGTGATGAAAATTGGATCTTGTTCAAGCTTTATGCTGGGTGCAGGAGATCTCCACACTGTTTCAGGCTACTAAACACTTTTCTTGCTTTTCCGATTCTGGCTGGCTTTGACGTCCTCTTCTGTGCCGCCTCTAGTTGGAACAGTGTTGTCTAGGAAGGTAGGCGAAAGAAGCTACTTCCTTTAAGTTTCTCTCGTTGATGGTGATTGGAGCTTGTTGTTGTTGTTGCTGCTGTTGGTTGGGTATCTTCATCACCTCTGTTTTCTCTACGTTCACTTGAAGTTTCGTCTTGATCGGAATTCCATATTCAAATTTCTCCAGCTGCAGTCAATTTCAGATAAGATATGGAGATTATTGTTCCCCTCTGTGTCCAATCGTACTAAGTTAAGTAGGTATTTCAAATGTAGTCAGAATGAGTATGTTACTCACTGGTGTTAGAAAAGTTTGGCATCAAACGGTGTAACAAATTGCCAAACTCTTGTTAGATGCTTGTTCATAAAATAGATCAGCCCTCAGAGAGAATTTAACCGAAAACGTATAATTCGTCAAGTTAACCATACTTCCAGCTATCAAGCATACTTATAATAAAGTGGTCGGACACATCTATGGCTGTTATTGGTCAGGGACACGTCTCCTTATACTTGGCAAACAATAGTGACTTAGAAGACTGCAAAATACCCGTGTTAATTGTCAGTAGTTTCTTAATAGGCCTAGTATCACCGTGATAGAATAACCTGGCTTATGAATTTCAGTAGTATCATAAATCCTACTAGGATTACTAGTTTTTGGCATAAAAATAAACCACTTTCGATATTCTAACTCACTTTGAAAATTTAATCAGATTTATTCATGACAACTGTTGAGTTGTCTGTATCCGATTTAGCATGTACTTAATCATAATCATTTTGAATACGTCTAAGAGCTTCTCTTCTTCTCTTCGCTTCCCTTCGCCTATAGTTAAAAATTAATCCCACTAGGGTGTACACTTAAACAAAGTCACTTTGAAAAGCTGATTTGTGTTCAATTTATCTCAAAAAGAAAACCAATACACACAGATAACATGGACTATTATCCTGTGAATGAAGTAACATGAGTGGTATGAAACCAGCTTACTTCATAAACTAAAGACTTTTTAATGACAAGTTGGCGTTTTGTTGAAGTTTCGAATAGGCTAAGCAACAGGATAGCACAAATGGTTGTGATAAAGGGGGATGAAAACTGATAGTGGTGTACAGTTAGAATGAAAATCGTACACTCCTGGTTCGAAATTCTCCTTCAATCAACACCCCATATCAAAGATTCCAGTATAGTAAACAACAGCTATTTCACATACTCTTGTCAATAATAAGTGCTACAGTTGAACAACTCCAGATTCTGCAGTCAACACATTACCATTGAGCCACTGGGTCGGAATCGAATGATCCATGTCTTTTAATTCCTCCAAATTGAGTTAATTCAGTCCTTAGAGGTATGATTCTCGAAGTTCCAGTGGGACCAACGAAGTCGAACTTGAGGACAGTTATTCTATGATGACGTTGGATGGAGGTCGTGCTAACCACCAAGCAGACAGTAACATAATGGATAATTAAACATTATCACAGGAATCCTTCTGCTAACAGAGGTTGGACACTTTCATCGAGTATAACAAACGGTACTTGTTGCACAAATTGTGGCCTAACATATAACGCTTTGACGTTTGAAATGATGGGTACTGAGACTTAGGTACATCTAATTGATGAGTGAGTCACAAATTGGACGAAACATGAGTCTTGAATTCCATTGCTAGCCATCAATTTGACAGGAACTGAAGCAGACTTCAGAAAACCTAACTGACAAACTTCTTTTCATCTCTTCCAATTCAACTCAAAGATACAGAATATTTCTATGACCAATATACATTGGAAAACGATGATAGCTATCATCCAGGGTGTAATGGAATAGCCGAATACTTTGATACATCCAGTTACCTTTTCACCATCCTTCATAATTACGTACACAAAATAAACCGTTTGGTGTTTAAGAGAATATCATGAAATCAGACAAAGTGATCCATATCTTCCCACACAAGTATAATTAAATTGTACCACCTAATGAAATAAGTTGGTAAGTCTGAAAGACAAAAAAAGGGAGAAGATTGTCAGTGTTGACAAACTCAGAGACAGTGAGAGTAAGTGAGTGAGTAAGTGAGCGAGTGAGAGAGTGAGAGAGTGAGTGAGTGAGTGAGTAGGTGGGTGAGTGAATGAATGAATGAGTGAGAAACAGTGCTTAGTGAAGTGTAGACAAATTAGGCTTCACTTTTAACCGTAAGTAAGCATAAAAATACTCTGCCTTTTTCAGTGTGGACAGATATGTCAACTGAAAAATAAGCTTCTTGCTTGAAAAAAAACTGATTATTGAAAGGCTTTTACTTTTTAGCAAGTTGTTTTTAATCAATTTGTCATTTTTGTCTGGTAACTAGGGTTGACAAAAGAAAATATTTGTTACAATAATACCGATTTTCGTTTTATTTCGCCTTGTTCCCTGAAAAATGTAACATGAATTTCAGTTAGGTTAGATGGTGACTGGCAATCTAAAGGAAGCCCTTCTCGATCCAGTTTCCGTGTTTCTGGAGAATCATAAACTCAATCCACAACTGACTGCTCATAGAAGTGAAATACGTAAACAAATCAATCACCAATAGGTCACCGATGTAGTTGTTCAGTCCTTAGGTTTTAGCACCGATTGAAGTCTGTTGATTCGAATCAGTGTCAAAATAACCTAATCTCCAGAGAATAATCATACACACTAGTGGAGGTGATGATTCAGAAGACTGTTGACTAACCGTAAGACCGTAAGAAATCCCTTCGTCCTGAACTCTTTTTTAAGGATGGAAATGAGATTGTATGTAGTTAAAGAGGTGAATACATCAATAGAGAAAAAGGCATGACAGACTGGAAGCGCATTAGTGCTCCAGAATGAAGCCAGTTTTGAAAATTGTCTGCGCTATAACTGTATTATCAGTCTACTCGGATAAGCATCTTAAATATTGGCTGTTACCATACTTCGCTATCTTAACTCAGTGTCGTAGTGGATCACACTCTGGGATAGTAAGTGACTGTTCCTAAGTTCAGGTCTCAGTGGGAATAACACTACTCACTAGAGCGCAAGTATATCCAGAGGACGACTGACTTCCAAATGGGATGAAGTACACGTTCTAGATTCCACTACTAGACAATATCGATCATTAAAATCAAAATTTGAAATAGTTCAAATTTACTGATCACTGGCAACCAATTGATTGGTAGAAGAAAGGGTCCGGATATTCATGATGTTTCTATTCATCTTGGTTACTCCTAGTGGCATCCAGTTTGACTGAATAATATTCACGCTAATGAAACCGAATTGTTACATTGTTATCAGCTAGGATTAACCCTAATTGATGTTCATTAGTTGGGTACCAAAGCAACCAGTCGTTGGACAAGAAAATCTTCTATTTGCTGTAGACCTATATGTTCACAGAATTTTACTGATGGAATTAGAAATTTGGGTGATGAAGCTAATATCGACATCATTGTGAAGCGCTTATCTTGTATTCAATGCATGGATTCTCCTACACCGACGTGTTTCCTGTATGAAATATTCCAAACATACATACTAGATGTATTCAAGAACATAAAAGCAAAGGTAGCCAAAATTTAACTTTAACTGATTTAATTACGAATACATTACGTACTGTACAGTAGAATTCAACTATCACTAAGAACCAGACAAGATGATATCGCAGCGAACCTTTAAAGAACGATCACTGCCAGTTGGAAAGAAGTAGTCAGTCAGTTTTTTCCTTTTTATCACTCTTCGACGAAGCATATCTGCAATCTCGACGTAACTGATATTACCCCTGAAATAAGAACTCATGTCACCAAATGCTGCCTTGGTGATGCGTGCCAAAACCTAGAAAACAAAGGTCCGTGGCTTCCTGTCGAATACCTTCATTCAATTAACATATTTCTCAGTGAATTGCCATGATGAGTCTCCTAGCCAGGTGAACGTATTGCAAAGAAATCAATTGAATTCAACCACGACTCAGGACAACACAACATAAAATTGGTAACCCACAGGCGATCATCGTCAAGTCAGTGCTTCTATGTGATGCTTCAGAAACTTGGCACGTCACGAAAATCACTTCCAACAAACTACATACATTCATCAACAGCTAACACCTACACTCGCTCGATACTGAAGATCAGATGAGGTGACCAGAAAGAATAAGCAAGAAGGAACTGTGACTGGCTGGCTGGCTAGCTAGCTAGCAACCAACCAAAGATGCGAGAAGCTATCGCTCAACAAATCTGCACTGGAAGGAAGTGGAGATGGATTGGGCATACACTGAGAAGACTATTCGGAGACATCACACACCAGGAGAGGCACTCAACTGGAATCGAGATGGGAAACTATGATTTTGGCGTCGGAGACGAGGATCACATTGAGGAGGAGGAGAAGGAGGTGGTGGTGGTGGTGTGAGGAAGAGATGAGAGGTTGTGGGCAATGGTGGAGTCAGGTTGACAATACTGCAGAGAAGAGAGTGTAATGGAGACGTGGTAGTGAATCCCTATGTTCCACTAGGAACCCATGGGACAAATAAATAATAATAAAATAAATAAAATATAATATCCAAATCCTGCAGCCTGGACGATGTGGTTGATTGGATTTCTGATAGAAACCAAGATAAGAGACAAGAAACGTTGCACCGATTCTCATTTTATTGTTCACTTTCATAAATAAAATTACTTCTTGAAATATTTAATATTCTTGGTTTGATTATCAAACGTAAGTATCTTCTTGGACCTAATATCTTACTCACGTATATAACATACATGAATGCATTTTAGGGCAAAAAATTTCAAATTTATGCATTCAGTTACATACAAACGTAGGCGAATGCACTGGTTTACGCGAGCAAGCTGGCATGTGTATAAGCTAACAAACATCTCAAACACACGAATCTATACACTTCAATAATTATGAAATTATTTTTCAGTTAGAAAATAAAATCATCTACAGACAATATTCATTTGTTAACTCAATTTATTAACCAATCAAAAATTTATTTCCCTTCTATACAAGAGAATCCTTTTAACGTATACATGAATGTACAGTACTTGAATGATAATTTCAGAAAGAGAGAGTATATAAACAAAGCATAAAAGAATTGTAATAAATCATTTGAAGTATTGAAATCTCTTATCGTAACTAGCTTAACTTATTTGTGTTTCAATTCATAAAGCAAATCATTTATTTAAGAAAATTAACATTTATAGTACACAATACAAAATACTGAATACTGTTGTCATGTTTTCAATTGTATTGTTACTTTCAGTTATCGGTAGGTTGATTTATTGAAACATTGAATTGTAATTTTCTTTTTTTTGTGCAATATTTAAAAATTAAGCGAACTTTTGAAATGAGTTTTGAGTTCTGTATGTTTAAATAAACTTGATATGATGTATAGCTTCAGTAAACTGTAGATATAAGTCAATTTTTAGTGACATGTAGTTTTTATTCAATATACATGTACGTGACTCAGGATAAAGAACAAGATCTAGATTTTCAGCATTAATGTCAGTCAGGTCAGTGCTTCTATGTGATGCTTCAGAAACTTGGCACGTCACGAAAATCACTTCCAACAAACTACATACATTCATCAACAGCTAACACCTACACTCGCTCGATACTGAAGATCAGATGAGGTGACCAGAAAGAATAAGTAAGAAGGAATTGTGGCTGGCTGGCTGGCTGGCTGGCTGGCTAGTGACGATGCAACCAAGAACACATCGTCAAACAAATATACACAAGTAGAAAGTGGAGATGGATTGGATTGGGTTGGATTGGATGGGACATACACTGAGAAAACCATTCGGTGGCATCACGCTCCAAGTCAGGCCATCGAGTGGACACTCAAAGGGGAAAGGACGAGTTTGGTGTTGGAGGTGAGGATGACATGGAGGAGATGCTGTGAGGAGGAAATGAAAGGTAATGGGCAGTTGTGTAGGCAGGTTGAAAATAGTTGAGATTAGAGAGTGGAGTGGAGATGTTTTACTGAATCCTTATGTTTCACTGAGAACTCATAGGACAAATAATCATAAAAATAAATGTGCCTGAATTAATTCGATACTATTTACGAGTTACCGACATTCATCTGATAAGACTGATTGACCATTTTCATTTACAGTTTGCGAGTGATCGATTTATAAAATGTAAAATATCAACTCGGTGGCTAGTATCAACTAGATGAGAAGATAGGTATTAAGGTGTTATTTTCCCATGACGAATGATATTCAGTGATTCTGTGACAGACTAGTTTAACTTAACGCTGAATGTAACTAGTTCCACAGAAGTCAGTTGGTCTTTTTTGAGTCACTAGGTCATCATTGAACGACTATGGAATACACAGTTTACCTTTGATGGATTATATGATCTTCTTAGGCTGTGCGTCACAAGTTCATTGATGGCGTCACCATGTAACTGCGATCAGCAATCTCTCGGAAACTGCAGATAGTCTGATTTTTATATTACACGTGTCTACTGGATATTAATTTCTACTGAGTAGATCATGGATAATTTAAAGTTCATCATCAGAAGTACCATCTGACCATGCAAGTCTGTCTTTGAATCGGCAAATAACATCCTATATGGTTAGACAAAGGAGTTAACTATCTTCTCGTCTACTTGACACTAGTTACTTAGTTAACGCTTAACATGCAAAATAATTGATCCGGAACCACTGTAACGGAAGGCGAATTCTCTCGAAATCATTATTTAGGTTACATGTTCAATTCAGTAAGACAGGAATTATTTTTGTTGACTTTTTAAAAGGAAATCATTTGGGAGAACAATGAAAGTGTATTTCATGGTAAATGTAGGGTGTTCAAAGTAACTTATTCATTTATTTATATTGTTGAAAACCGCCCGAATAGGGAATGTTCTACACTGAATCCGTTTCTCGTTTCCTATTAAATTTTAACGACAGTGATATAACTAGTTTCGGCTTATACCGATTATACTGTTTATTATTAGTCACTACATATTTTAAATCTGCGTGAATACTCCGTTTTCCTTTTCTTTCCGACATCGAATAGGTTTGTGCTGGTACACTCCGGTAACATGTCACTCCGTAAGTTGTATTATATCACAGTAATTATGTCTGTTCACTTTGTCTACTTATAAGTAGCTAAAAACAATTTTGTCAAAAGTTAATGATGCATGTTTGTTATGTGATTGTTTATTTATAAGAGTGACGGGGAAATACTTGGATGATTTTTTCCACCATAATAGTTTACAACACTTTTTTTATGTCTGTTTTATTTCGTTTTCATGATGGCTGGTTTACCGATGGCAATAACGTACGCATGGTCTTCACTTTTCATAAGACAGTTACACATATTTCGGAGAGTTTGTCAGGTTGCATACGTGAATATACACTAGAAACACGTTACTCCATCTTGAAATGCTTGATGATTGCTTTTATACCAGACGACGATACAAAGTGATTATGCCACCCTGGTTTGCTTCGGCTAGTATGAAGTTCATCCCAAATAATTCATTTAAATCTGAATGCTCAGTCACTCACAGACGAACTTTGTCTGTGACCCAATGAAACGAAATAATTCCATTCTTCAAATATATAATGACATGATTATGAGGTGAGGTGCATAGATCGGATTCGTCACCGAAAGTCAGTCAACCAAGTGCAGCTTGCTGGTTGAAGACATTTTGTAGGAAGGTTTTGACTTCTGTTTTTTACTGGTAGGCACTTTTCAGTATGTTGTATCTGCAACTTCGAGGGAAGTGATTTCCCTGTGAGATTTGAAATAACGTCAGACAGTGTTTCAGCCAGCGGAGTTATCATCAAGCTATTTTGGGATTTTTGTGGCAGTGGATAAGATACATTGATTAGCTGTCCAGTGCTGAGTGCTGACAGAATTCTGATGATCATTTTGTAATACGGTAACCAAGCTCGAAGGTTCATCACATGCTTTATTGGTTTCATCTACTTTCATCGTGTTTCTCTGCGTTTGCGTGAGATTTGATTACTTCCTCTATTGTACAGTAATACCAGATCTATGTTGACATCGAGTGACATTCAACTCCGTATAAATATGGAAGAGTTAGAATGAACGCGGAGATCCAATCAACTTGTAGTAGAATCGGACATGTTCTTCAGAAACAATATAAATCACTTTTGTTCAAATAACCTACTTACCAAAAATTACAAATCTAACTTTTCTCCTGTATGTTCTTTTTCACACTCTGTACACTGTATTTATAGCTTCCAGATTCTGATCTCTGGGAACATGGTAATGACGGTGATTCAGAAGAAGTAACTAGACGATTTCTCATTTCACTTCTACGCGGTCTTGGTTTAAGACGTGAATATACAAAACAACAGTGGAGTAAACGTGTCCCACCGTATATAACCGGTGGAATTCGTTATTGACAAGAGTGTTAAGTCAAAAGGAGCATGCGCACAAACAAGTAAAAGACAAAAATAATCAGTAATGAAGATGTAAACAAAAGTTTTTTGTTTTTCTACATTGTCATAATAAAAACAACAACCTATAGAGAAAATAATAAACACCTTTTCCATGAAATAAATGTGAAAGCTTTCTGTTATGTATTTCGAGCGAATTTAAAGTATACACGTTTAGCTGACTACTGACTTCGTACGCAAGAGCCATCAACTTCAATCTAGGGAGAATAGAGAAGAAGACTGAAGCTGGATAGGAGAGTTTACCCCTCCGAGAACAACCCCAACACATATGAATGCGTGTACACATGAGATATGACCTTGTCCGAAAATTAAGACCTTAACATATATGGTACAAGTAAGCATTAACCAATCAGTGAATTACCCTGAAAATGAGCGCCGAATATAAACTAATAGTCATGTTGAAAATTAAGTGACGTGAAAACAACAATTACGAAAAAATGTTGAAGTAAATAACAATTTTTATGTAAATTGAGGCCTTCTAACACCGACTACTTTTAAAATAGAAAACAATAATATCACTGCGTTTTAGGATCCAGTTGGAAATGTACAGTTTGAAAATGCTTTCGACCTGTACACCTTCTACGGTTGAGGCTGCTTGTTGATATCGTTTTCGGGTTCTTTCGGTCGTATCTAACTCTTATAACTATATTTTACTATGATAAACGAAATGATAACGAGTGTTTATAAAGAGAGCAAATATGAGTTATATCAACACAGGCTGAAACGATTGTGTTGTTAACTATTAATGGGCCTAAGAATGCAAGTTTCGTACGACGGGTGAGTCATCAGTTGCATATGTGGGTCGTTCGGTTACTTTAGGGACCTTATAGGTGAGCGAGAAGACGGACTTACACTAGACCGATGAAAAGAGCCTAGAAGATTTGCATTTTGCCTATGATGATTTATGTTTAATGTCGCACAAGCTTGAAAATCTACAAGCAAAAACCAACAAGTTGACAGAAGAGGCAGAGAAGACAGGACTTCCTTCAAGTGAAAGTAGAGAAGACAGAGATGATGAAGATACTCAGCCAACAACCACAACAATCACAATCAACAGGAGAAATCTGAAGGAAGTTGTCTCTTTCACCTACCCACATAGGAAGCACCGTTTCTAGTACAGGCGATAGTGGGTGCAGAGATGAGGACGTCGAAGCCAGGATTGGAAAGTCAAGACGGGCCTTCATCAGTCTGAAACCAATGTGGCGATCAACTGCACTCAGCAAAAAGAACAAGATCTGGATTTTCAGCATTAATGTCAGTCAAGTCAGTGCTTCTATGTGATGCTTCAGAAGCTTGGCACGTCACGAAAATCACTTCCAACAAACTACATACATTCATCAACAGCTAACACCTACACTCGCTCGATACTGAAGATCAGATGAGGTGACCAGAAAGAATAAGTAAGAAGGAATTGTGGCTGGCTGGCTGGCTGGCTGGCTGGCTGGCTGGCTGGCTGGCTGGCTGGCTGGCTGGCTGGCTGGCTGGCTGGCTGGCTGGCTGGCTGGCTGGCTAGTGACGATGCAACCAAGAACACATCGTCAAACAAATATACACAAGTAGAAAGTGGAGATGGATTGGATTGGGTTGGATTGGATGGGACATACACTGAGAAAACCATTCGGTGGCATCACGCTCCAAGTCAGGCCGTCGAGTGGACACTCAAAGGGGAAAGGACGAGTTTGGTGTTGGAGGTGAGGGTGACATGGAGGAGATGATGTGAGGAGGAAATGAAAGGTGATGGGCAGTTGTGTAGGCAGGTTGAAAATAGTTGAGATTAGAGATTGGAGTGGAGATGTGTTACTGAATCCTTATGTTTCACTGAGAACTCATAGGACAAATAATAATGAAAATAAAAATAGGTGATAAATATGTAGTGCTTTGATAATGAGTGACCTTCATATTGCAAGCGAATAAGTTTCTTTTCAAAATCTACATCAATCCTAGTGATTAGTTACTAGGCAGATGACGTGGGCGAATGAATATGGTCTCCTGAATATAGCATTACTGAATGTGATTTGACATTTAATAAAAACACGAAATTCGACATTTTAAGTTTTCCTCACAGTCTATGGAATGAACAATTCCTAACAGTGTGGAAGAGATAGTAAGGCAGGGGAGATATTGTGAGACGCAGCAGATTCTATGGTAGCCTACGACTTCCGTTACCTGTCGATATGTCGGCAAATTTGATGAAGTGAGCATTCTTCTGAGTTCACTCATTATCTGCTTTCTAGTTCTCTCTACTCCATCTTGTTCGATTCAAATCAACTATTTGAGTCTACGTAATTAGTACCAAACTGTCTCTATTTCCTGTTCACTTGTATAGTTGATCTTCGAATTTCATTTGACACACTGGAACAGTTTGCATATGATTCGACTTGATCTACAGCTGATCATGCAATTCAGTCAAGTAATACTGATGCTTAACATATTCAAATCAAGCCTCCTCTCTGATTGTTCTGAATCTTTGTGCATTTTAAAGTTCCATTATATGAATTTGTTCGTCATGGGTTGAAGATTACATTAATACCTATCCTTATATCTACGGTGTGGTTGTTTCTAGACAAGAGATGGTTACAAGTATTCTATAACACTCATGAAAGTATACTGTTGTAATATTTTGAAGTGATTCCACTTAAATGTCTGACTAGTCGTGTTGAATCACGAATACTGAAGTCAAATATTAAATAAATTAGTGTTTTCAACCCAATTCTACTTTACTATCTACATTCTACATGAAAAGATCTTGGTTAATCTTCCATTTTGAGGCATATTCAATATTTCAGTTTCCACAGAATGTTTTGGATAGCTTATCTAAACGTTGTAAAGAACATCCCAACTGTAACATCTGTATCAGTTATATATATCTTCAAAATAATGACAGTTGATGCCAGAACCTCCAATCCCATTGACACATGTAATCAGATGGCAAACTTTAGCATACCAAAGTACAATAAGCTGACTAATGAGTACTGACAAGAGAAGTACATAGTTCTAATTTCTATCATTCATAGACTAGTTATTAGTGTATGTCTGACATGTAAAGTTGTTTCACAAAATTTCGTCTCATTACTCTTATGTTAGTCAGTTCATTTTCTATCTTCATCAAATGGAATAACACAAATATGATTGGTGGAGTGACTATCATAGATGAATCTACTTCACTATTCAGTTTAACTGACGAATAAAATTTATGCACTGAATCACTTCAAGGCAGTATCGATTCCAAGGTTAGGAAAGTGATCAAGCTTGGGAAAGAGTAACACTTTGTCACATCATTGTCATCCCATGGAACTGATTTTCATGTGATTCACTGTTTGATGCTTGGTGCTAGATTGATTCTATCCTTTAAAGTGTCGCTGTAGATGAAAGGTATACTGACGTCGAAATTAGTTGTGCCGAGTTATATTTCATTTCAACTCCAAGTGGAGTTAATGCAACTGAATGAATTTATTTGACAGAGTTTTTACCTTTCAGCAGACTTCATCTGGATATAAATTTCTTGCTTCCACATGGAATTTCAGAGATCACATCAGCAACACAGTCGTGGTGATGAATGTCGCTAAAACTGACATTTGAACGAAAAGCTGACAGTGGATTATTTCAGGTTCATATTCATCAATATGGACTAACATTAGCTGAAGGAACAGTGTAAATTTGGGAGCACTAGACAGGGTTCCAACGTAAGACGTTCAGGTTCCGTGACCAGAACGTTACCATCGAACCACTAGGTCGAAATTCATCGTTTCATATTTCCTACTTCCTTCTTTTAATCTGTTGCCCATTGGTGACTAGATTAGAGAGGTGATTCTCAAAGTTGCAGTGCAAGACCGTCATTGGTGAAGTCAAACAAGTCGAACATGAGGACAGTCACTCAATGATGGCATCGGATGCAGGTCACAAATTATCGTAAAATGATAGAAGTAAGAAATGTCGACCATGTGATTCAGCACACCTAAAGACTTATTTCAGCACTTTTCACTCTTCGCCAGAAACAAAATGACCGCATCAACCGCTTGGTGATGAGTAGTAATACTAGCAGTAGTGTGAGTAGTGTGAGTAGTGTGAGTAGTGTGAGTAGTAGTAGTAGTAGTAGTAGTAGTAGTAGTAGTAGTAGTAGTAGTAGTAGTAGTAGAAGTGTGAGTAGTTGTAGTGTAGTGGGCGTTGCTGATAACAACGGAGATATGTAGTACATATCGAGAGGGTGGCAGCGATCATAGAGAATAACCAGCAATGGGTAAGATTTCTGCTAAGAGCAACGCAGGGGACAACACAGGCGTATTACAGGGAATGCTGCTGATAAGAGTGTATGAAGAGCCGGTCAAGAGCAAATCAAGACAGGAACAGAGAGGAAACGAAGACATTTGCAAATGTATGCGTTAGTGCAAGGAGTACCATATGTAAACATTCCAATTACCATTCCAGTTACCATTCCAATTGTTCGTCGAGTTATCTTCCATTACTTCAGTAGTCGTAGTAGTAGTGTGAGTAGTAGTAGTATGAGTAGTAGGGGTAGTAGTAGTAGTATTAGTAGTAGTAGTTATTGTCACTGTTAACGGAAGGCTGTAAACTTTGAATATCGTCACATATCGGTGAGGTTGATACTACGAGATTACAATGGAATACGAAATCAGGGAAGTTCGTTAGTTTGTTAGTTAGTTGTGTGATGAAAGACGTCTTGGTCTTTATAATTCAGTTCACAGTGAATTTATTTGATCAGTGTTTGAGCTATTTACCTATTGACACCATAAGATCCCTTTATTTTTAACTTTTGTGTAAAGTAAACACACACACACACACAATGAACAGGCTGATTGTATGATGTGTGAATACAAAATAGTTGAACATGAAGCATGTATCATTCCTTATCATTATTATTCATTGATAAACCCTTGTTGCATCTGAGAGTATGATATTCCACTGAGAGAAACAGAGATAACTTCCCACACCATAACTTCCTACCCAACCCTGATATCAGATTACAAATTCCACGTTCATACTACTATTAATCATTGCATCCTCATAAAATGGATGACAGAGAGAGACGGTTGACCTCCTTCAACGTAACAGCGGGTTTGTTTTACATTGAGTGGTGAA